CTCCTCCTCCTCAACCGCCAATCCAATCCTAAAACTCACTCTCCCCATCTTCTTCTCCTCCCCCAATTCCAAGCAAAACCCTTTCTCATTCCCACCATTCCCATTCCAATTCCCACTCTCACTTACTCTTTCACTTTCATACATAACACCACCACCAACATTCCCAGCCACCATATTCTCCCACAACTCCTCAGCATTCCTCCTCTTCGCGACCGTTTTCTTTACATCCGGGAATGCTGGAAGCCATCTCGGCACGTGCAAATCCCTCCCGGAATCCGTTTCCACCGGAAACGGAATCCGTTTCTCTGTATCCAATTTCTCGGCCCGCAGAATCGGCATGGCGAAAGGGGTTTCCTCGTTCCAGCTGACGAATTTGGCGAGATCGGTCAAAACGCCCGAACCCAAAACGCAGAAACCGTTTTTGTGGAGAAAGGAGGCGCCTTTGAAGCCTTGCACCGACTGCAAGTCATGGAGGGCGTTGGTGAAGTCGAAAACGTTCGTGTTGGTGCGATTGGCCATGGCAGCGTAGGAGGCTGAGGCGGAAGCTATGGCCTCGATGTACTTGATGGCGATGTGGGCTAGGGTTTCGACAGCGGAAGGCTTCGTGGCTTTGAAGCCGACTGATTGACTGATTTGAGACGCTGCGATTCTGGCTATGGCGAATGAGAACTCCGATGGGGTTGGGTTTGGGCTTGTCGTTGGGGTTCCTTGTTGTCTTGGTGTCTTTCGTTTTGATTTTGATTTTTGGGACATGATGGTGACTGACTGGTGGTAGTGGCGATGGTGGATTGGAGAAGAGAGGGTTTTCTGCTTTTTCTGCTTGCAGACGGTTTAGGGTTCGAAACTCTAACTGTGCGACAACGTTTGGCCCTTTTAATATTGGCTACCCTTAGATATTTTGAATTAATTATGAGAAAATTGATTTTTTTTCCACCTCCTGGCATCAGAAAAGAAGGAGAAATTATAATGTGATACTAAAATATGGTCACATGAACATTAATATATTAATGATTAGTGTGAGTAGTTTGCACAAGACATATGTAAAATTTATTTACTGCAATCTTCTCCTAATTTATTTTCTTCTATCGAAGAAAAAAGAAAAGAAACATGGAATGTTGTCCAATAATGAACCATGCCAAAACCATATAAGAGTAGTACAAAGAGAAACTGTCCAATTGTATTATTAGATTCTAGGAGTTTTCACAATTTCAATACCTCCTCTTCCCCAAGAGATTGAATTACAAGTTAGATGGACAAGCAGGTTTCTTTGATGTGATAATAGCCAATGGAGACAAGATTTCTGGCAAAAGAGATTGTTCCCAAATTCCAATGGAGTCTAAAGATTCATAACAACAAAGTATATATGCATGGAACATGCACTTTCACAAGGAGCATAATAATGCAAAATTCTGAACCAGTCACAAGGATACTATCTTCTGGCCCAAGCAAAGGGAATTATAATTAGAAGTTGAGGTTGTTGGGTTGGACTTGGGCCCAAATTCCAATGGAGTCTAAAGATTCATAACAACAAAGTATATATGCATGGAACATGCACTTTCACAAGGAGCATAATAATACAAAATTCTGAACCAGTCACAAGGATACTATCTTCTGGCCCAAGCAAAGGGAAAAGTTGAGGTTGCTGGGTTGGACTTGGGCTAGACTTGAAGTTGAAGTTGGAGTTGAAGTTGCTTTAGGGTAGCTCAAATTGGATCTACAACTTGATCAAAAGAGTGGCTTGGGCTTTGGGCTAACTAAAGTGCAATGAAATATTAATTTGGGACCATATGCTTTGGGCTAGCTTTGTGGCCAGCCCAACCAAACTACAACTTTATAGTTGTTCACACCAATTTCATTTTTCTTCTCTCATTTTATTTAGGATACTGTTTGCCTCTTTCTCTACAAGGAGAACTCCTTCTTTTTGCGATCACAGTTTGACACATATGCAAAAATAATTCATCAAAAACACAAAAATAAAAACTTCTGCACACATATCCCACTGCTATTAGTAGGATTGTAGGAGCTCCTACTTACACAATAAGGAAGGAAGTATTCTCCTTTTATTCATGATGCGTACCATTTTGGCTTAAAGACTTATTCTATTTGGGGCTCCTACTATAGTTGTTACACATCATTTTCAACAGCTATTAGATCTCCTATAAGACAACCTCACCACCATCCATGACAATGGCTTCTTTTTTCCTTGATAAACTTTGGACCAAATGTGGTTCGACCGACTTCATTATCATGATTTATATAGTATGGTCTACCTGCCTCAGTCTGATGAAAAGTTAGATCCCATTTAGAAAATTGCACCACATCCACCTATGAATTTATTCACATGCCTGCCAAGAAAACAAAAGGTATATAAGTCTTGCATTTAAATTACTTTTAACTTTTGGAAGATTCTGGTATGACTTGACTAAGATTCTTGGCTTTGGATTCAATAGCATGACTTGGAGACCATGTTCTGGTCCAGCATTTGATTCCTTTATAGCTACGACATGCAATGTTGGGATGACCAATAAAGTTTGATGGGCGACATTTACTCTTTTCAACCCCATTTTTTTTAAATGCCCATGGTAGTTGTGCCTAAAGTCTCACTCAATTTTTATTATTTTCTTTTGCTCAAAAGTTTATTCATAGCTTGTTGATGTGTGATATAGGTTGCTAATCCTGCCAGAGTCTTAGATTTAGGTCACTTTCCATGCCATCACCCTTCTCTTCAACGCTACACTTGAATCTTTCAAAGGGAGGAAAAGTTGGAAGCTCATCTAGAATGGAGTAGTACATCTATTTTCCTCTTGTTTTTTAGTTTTTGTTTCTCTCTCTCTCTCTATACATATGCGTGTGTGTGCTTTTAAAAATAGCCATCCCATATGGACAACCTTTTACAAGTTCCCATATGTTGTCACCATTATTCCTAATACGTTTGCAAATAGCGTTAAGAAGATGATTTTAAATTCAACTTCAAATGTAGTAGGTGGTTGAACCCTAATTTATAAGTATCTGTTCCTATCAATTTGATTAAATAAAAAAGTTTACTTAATTACATCAAGATTTGAACTTTAACACAACTCCTGGCTCCAATCCCTTCAATATAAGCGAAAACAAGAAAACCCCACCATTCCCTCTACTTTGGACCATATTTTGAAGAATTCAATACCTCTCCCTTTCTCTCCAACTCAAGAACCCATTAAAGTTCATTTGGCCATCTTTTGGGTTTATCTTGGCAATTAAGAATTTGAAGTTTAAGGGTTTAAAAGAAAAGGGAAAAGGAAGTGAGATGATTGATCTGCTAGCTGCACTAATTAGATTTGATGTTGCAATCTTGGAAAACGCATAAATGGGATCATGGGGTGAAAGGGAGGTTGTGGCCTTGTAGGCTTTAGCATATGCGATTTCTGTCGGTGGGATAAGATTATGTGCTTCCAAGGGCATCTTTCTAACTCAATGAAAAAAGAATGGCTAGCAAAAGGTTCCCCTTTTATGCATATGTTGTTTTTACCTTCCTGGATACTTCAGCTTTATTGGGTTTTGATTCAATTCAACCATGGAATTAATAATCCAACTCCTAGATATTATGCCCTACCTTTACTTCTACTCCACCATCTCTTTATATCCTACCAAATCCATCTTCCTAAAGCAAAACCAATGGCACTCCTCAAAATTCCCACTTAAAGGATGAGCTATTTGGAAGACTATCATAAACTCTCTCTCTCTCTCTCATGTTGTCATATGAGTGGGTGCAATGTTATAAAGGTTAAATGTGGTGTTGAGAGAGAGCAAAGGGAGGCAACAACATCAAAATTTTAAGGTGATGAGCATAGCTGGTAGCTGGATTGTGCCCCCTCAGGGCCCCACCTTACAATCAGACTTGCTTGGGCCCACAACTTTTGATGTAGATCCATATTTTATGCCAGGCTTTGTCCACTCCATCGCCATCAAATTCCACCCCCACCTATGTGCATGGAATATGGATATATCTGCAAAGTGGACTTGCCTTCTTTATGACACACCTTTCCATTTCTTTACATTTTTACACTACTGGGGACCAATCCCTTTAATCAAACATTCAAAGACTAAATTGAGAGAGAGAGAGAGAGAGAGAGAGAGTAGATAGATACTAAGATCCTCCAATTTAGGTCAGCTTTCTTAGGCCCACCCTCCCAAAACTATAATAAAAAAGAAATGAATGGGGCTGTTGTTTGTGTGTGTCATTTTCATACTTGCTTGACAATACACAGAGAGTAGAGCCAATAAGCATACCATGTTATTGTCTTTTCAATATGGACACGCACGCATATATACATATGCTGTCAACCCATCAATTTTTTCTTTTCAATTTTTCTGGGGGAGCTCAGAAAATCATCTTATTTTTTCTTGTGTGTTTTCTGAAAATCAAAATTAGATTAGTATTCAAGTTCCTCTTTGACCAGGCCAGAAAAGAAAATCAGCTTTATCTTTGTCTATATTCATTAATTTTTAATTAATTTTTTTGGGTTTTCCTATGCCATACATGTTGCAGTGTTGCACGTTACCTCCAATTTATATAATTTTTGTGCAGAGTTAGTAGAAACACATGAGTTTTGAAGAGTGATAAAGATGTGATATTCTGTGACATAAAAACAAAATTATTGATTTGATATATGTTGTTTTGGTCAAGAACGGCATGTATGGAAAGCAACGAAGTTTGGTTTGCTACTTCATCTCATCTTTTATTTTTATCAATCGAATCGAAGGTGACAAATTGGGTGGTTAGTTTCTCTGAATTGCTACATCACATCTAGGAAAGACAACCCTAAATTATATTCAATCAAAACCAAATTACTATAAGAACACCTCACAAGTCACAAAACGCCAATAATCTTCACGTCTACAAGCAAGAAACAAGATAACTTGAGACAAAAAAAAGAGAGTGAAATATTCCAATTTCTTCTTCAACCAAACTGGTGCACCACGTAAGTGGACATTATTTGTTTATTGGATGCGTGCCGATATTTATCATAAATATATTTATAATATTTTGGATGACAACGAGGAGATGGGTGATGGGTCGCGGCCACAACTTGTTCATGTCATCTAGTGTATATAAACAGATTGTCATGGCCAAAAATCCCCACGCAACAAAGAAAGGCCAAAGATTCATTGCAGTTTTCTGTGGTCCGCGCCTTGAATGATTAGACCAACACAGAAAGTGAGCGATGCCCCCAAGGAAAATTTTAAGGTCAATTTTGAGGAATTAAAGGTTAATTTGTTGCCAACAAGTTGAGGTTCCAAATTCCATTTACGCGTTTATTTGCTTGAGGATACTTCTAAGCTCTGAAGCCCCAATAATATCGAGTTCAAGTATTTGCTTGGCAGAGCGATTATAACTGTCGGAGAGATTAGATTAGTTTAGTTGGTTGTTAATGTGAGCAAAGTATTTTAGGGTTACTTTATTGTTTAATTAGTGCACTTTGTGTTTTTTGTTCAAGCGATATTAGATAAGTGGAGATTCGAACACAGTACCTCGAGTGCACGAATAACTACTCTTAACTATTTGAGAGCTACAAAATATTGAAAATTAAGAAAGCAATTTACCAACTTCTAATATTTTATACTTTAACAAGCTACGTAGGTCAGTCGGTCGGTATTATTTTGATGTATGACAATTCTTGAGTGATAAAATAAGTAAAATTATCACTGCACATTTAGAATCGAGTAAAAAGAAAAAGACGGTCCAAAATATTAAACCGCCGGCCAACACAATCAAATCCAAATGCATGTGAAAGCAATGCAACCTTTTTATTAATATTTTTTTTCTTTTTCAACAGAAAATTAAAATACTGATCAAACTTGTCAAACATTCGTGATAATTAGAAATAACGTGAGTGAAAAGGACTAATAATTTATCCGTTTTGGTTAGAGCTAGTATCATTTCAATTGAAATTCACCATACGACTTTTAAAACATTTCAAATCTC